TTTTTTTTTTTGTTTTAAAATTTTTAGCTATTATATCTATACTTTTTTTTTTCATCTCTAATTGAAATATCTCTTCTTACCACCTACTTTTTTTGTTTTTAATCTTTTTAGATCTCTATTTATTTATGTATCTTTTTAGTATCAAAAAATAGTTCTTTGTTTTGGTTGCTGTTTTTAAATATTAATTTAATTGTAAAGTTTTAAAACCATTATTTTGCTTATTGACCCATCTTCCTCCCTGCCTTCCCTTCCATTCAAAAAAAAAAAAAAAAAGTACTAAAATTGGTTGATTATTTGAGCAGAAAAAAAAAAGATGAATAAATAATTTGCCATGAGTTGTTGGCCTGTAGTATGACACCAACTTGCTAATTATCATTGTCATTAATTTCTTTTTTTGTCTGTTTTTTTTTTCTGCTGTAAACTCATAAAAGCAGCCTTCTATCCTTTGGGTTAAAAACCTTTAGTATTTGAATTGGCCATGAAATGGTTCAATTTTGCTGTACTATTCTGCGATAAAATACTGCTCGTAGTCTAGCATCAACGGTTCAATGGGCATTCGTTGGTTGGTTGGCATAGAGGAAAAAACTTTCTAGTTTCAATTATTTCCAGGGAGGAAGACTATACAGCGGTGAAAAAATGATCTCAAAAAGACAAGCTGCTAAACTTTTTGCCATATGTATCCTGCTAACTATTACCACAAATTTTCCATCCGGTTTTACAAATTCGTCAATCAACACCGCTGTGGAAGAGTTAAGAAGATTTATCAATGAAAGTTATAGTCAAAGGTTTGGTTAATAGTCATTCTTCTGTTTTTTTCTTTATTTTTTTAAGGTATGGAGAATTTCCATTAAAATTGTTCATTTAGTTGTGTTTCACGGTTTGTCAAAATGTGCAAAGGTACAGTACTATTATAATATTCAAATTTTGTAATTTGTTCAAGAGAGAAAACTTGAATAAATAGAGAAATGTTTGCGTTAAATTTGTGAGTTTAGTGTTTTTATTCAATTTCACTGCTTTAAAGGATTTTTTCTCAAAGGTTTATGACAAACTGATTAATGTAACATTAAGGTCTTTTGAGATGCTGTTACTTGAACATCATTTGCGGTATGATCTGTTTTAGTCAATAATTTCAAGTTAAGTTTCAGTTTTGAAACTTTGCTGTAATTACAGAGATGTGGCATTAACAGAAGTTGAACAAACTTTAATACGATCTGGTACACTGAACTGCTGGTACATTATGCAGGTATTTGGATATTTTTTTGCTCCGTTTTTAACGGATCGTTACGGACGTAAAGGTACCTATGATTATCTTTCTTTTTTTTAATTACTTCTTAAAAAGAGTGTCTGAGATATCGGAATTTGTCATCTCGGCGTGTATCTGTATAAGTAACCGTAAAAGGTGTCATTTTAGTTGCATATCTTACGGCAACAACGGGAATGTTGACTGCTGCATGTCTGCAGTATTTGGCTACACTTCTAGCGCTCCCAGAACTTTTGGTTGTTGGTCGATCGTTATGCGCATTTTGTTCACCAATTAGTGATGCGTCTCTTCTACTGTATCTTCAGGTAAATCTTTGTACAGTTAATAGGAGTAAAAATCTAGATGAATTTCTGGTGTAAAATGTTGATTTATTCAATTAATATAAGCAAAAAAGAAGTTTTATTAGGATTAGGAGTATTGCAACGGTAAGGACAATAGATCTTTTTGTCATGGAAAAAATTTTTGCAGTATTTTTTAATGTTTATTGACTCTTCACATCTTTTAGGAATGTTCACCACTCGAAATGAGAGGCGCTTTTAGTTTCCTCTGTGAAATCGGTTATGGCTCGATGTGTTTACTTGGGATGGTGTTGGGTATGAGGACTGTTCTTGGTGACTCCTTATCTCGATTGCTTGGAACGTCGATTATACCGCAGCTGTTTTTCATCTCATGTCTTATATTTATTCCTGAAACTCCAAAATACCTAATGATTACAAAGTACGATCAGTTCATAAATAGCAATTAATATCTTATTTTTGACTTGATGAAAGAAAAAGTTAAGAAGTTTTAAACGTTTCAAATTGTTGTAACACTGAATGATTTAGGAACAATCGATCTGCAGCCTTAAAGTCACTGAAGTTCTTCCAAGGTGAAAGAAAGGAACATGAAAATTTACTTGATGAATATGCTCAAGAGGCTTTGGAGGAAGGCAATGCAAAAAGAAGCAGCATAAGAGTTAGTTGTTCAGTAATTCTGATTACTGCTTCAATGCCTTTCTGTTGGTTCCTCTTTTAATTTTTTTCTTCTTCATAATTGAGAAGATGCTTCACCAGTTTTACGAGGTTACATGAGGTACATAGAAGTTGTTTGTTGATCGCAAGCAAATATTACCTGTAAAATAAATTGGTCAGCTCTAAGCACTTAGACACAATTTAGGAAGTTATAACAGTATGGCACTTGCGACAGGCTGTCATTCTCGGAATTTTGGTTGTAGTACTTACACTATCCTTCTTCCCAGTACTGCAGTCATCAACATACTTCTTTATTAAGGCCAATATTGCCAAGTAGGTTAACTTCAGCATCCGCAACTTATTCTGAAATGCTTTTTGAAAATCGGTTTATTTTAATTTTAGCGGGATCGCCGAACTTTCTTCGACGCTTTTGATGCTGATGATGTCTATGTCATCCGTAACTGGAACATTTCTGGTAGATCGCTTTCCACGACGAAAACTTCTGTTTTTGTTTGCATCCTTACAGATGTTATTTTTGTTGCTGTTCGTTATAACTTCAACTCTGAGCAACTCCATTTCTTGGCTTAAATATGCTTGTTTGGCGTCTATGGGCAGCTTTATTATAGTTTATTCGTAAGTCCAAGTCATGCCAAGTTCTCAGTTTCAAGGAACCAATAAAATTTGTAAAATTGTTCAATTTTTAGAATGGTTGTTGGTCCGATGAGTTGGTTTATAGCGTCCGAGTTGGTACCACAGCGTCACCGTTCCACTGTGTTCTGTCTATGCTTTACAGTTGGGAACATTTTGATTGCGGCTACAAATTTCGTTTCTATCCCCTTGTACGAAGTAAGCTTTATGCTAAAAAAAGAGCTTTTCTATCTCTTTCATTCCAATATCGCGTAGACTTTCTTCTGCACCTTATCATACTTTACTGCAGGAAGTTATTTCATCTCTAATGAACAGCTGCAAGAGTAATTTGGAAGTTTAAAACTTTTGAAGAAGCTGTTAAGGTTGCACTCATCAACTAATATTATCAAAAAGAATCTATCTAGACATGTTGGGCCGGTGTAATTTTTTCAGACGGTTTTGTTTTTCAAGAAACAGAAGGCAGAGTGACGGAACTTACACGTCATTGTCTGCAGAAAAACCATCTTATTTTTTCATTGCGCGCAAAGTGCAAAAGTTTCCTGAGAATTCTCATCGATTGTACAATTCACTTAAGCATTCTAATGGTTTCGATTGGATGGGCACTTAAATTGCTATTAATAGAAATAATACATTTTTAATCAGAAAAATGGTGACTGGGACTTTTTTTGATGTAAAAACGGCACGACGTAATGTGTTGTCAAATAATATTTTTTCACTTTGAGCAACCGTTTGAGGCTAACTGTCACATAAGCCGGGTGTTTGCTTGTGTAGTTGGAATCAGAAGGCGTCATGCCCTCCACAGAACTTCTACTTTTGAAGAGGAGTGATAGCACAGGAGTCAGTGTATAAGTACTATTTTGTTGGCAAAAGAGAAGTTGATCCAAAATAATTGAGGGGGTTGATGTAAAAAATCTTTTAAAACGCTAATGCCTTTCATTTATGAGGTGTAATTGATACTTTATAGGTCTGCCAAATAATTAATTATTTATTGAAGCTTTTAAAAGTATCTGTTGAATCTTTTTAAAGTTTCTCACTATTTGGTTACTAGGTAAGTAGTCAAATTTTTAAAGAAGATTGCAGGATTTATTGTAAGATATTGGCACGGAAGCATTCGGCAGAGCGAGAGGTATTTAGGGAATTTATGTTGGAAATTACTGCATCATTTAACCTGCTTCTTTTCATTGTGTTTTTTGACAATATGAATATTTGTCTTTTTCGGAAGTTGGAAAAATATCGTTAATTTCAAAATATGAATGATTTGAAGTTTGCAGACAATCTTTTTACCGAATAATCAGAGTGCTGTAGATTTGTTGTAAAAAAATGATCAGGACTAATCAATGAAAGATTGTGGGAAAAACATTGAGCAGCAGATGTACAGTTAGGGAGAAAACTTGAGGTAAAAATAACGCTGCGAAGTTGATGTCAGTAAACATCAGTGATTAGAAATAAAATTAGGCTTCAGAACTTTTGAAAGTTGTTGCAGTTCAAATACACGCGACTGATATTTTGATCGACAAAAAAAAAAAGATATTTTAGGCTTTCGGGTCCTTGACTTTTATCCCAGTCTATATTGTTCCATCGACATTATCGTTGACCTATTTGTACTTCAATTTACCGGAATCACGAAATCGTGAACCACATGAAATAGTAGCAGAAATGCTAAAAAAGAAGAAGAATTTGGCTGATACTACAGCAATCGATGGATC